TTTGGATACAACAATTATTGCACGACAACTTCTCTTGAAAGTTTCCTATACCTACCTGTTATCGTTTTCGAAATATGAATGAATTTAAATTTTTTTCATGACCTATCAATCATGACCTATAAAAATGCTGATATCTTTGAGGTGAGGAATACAATGGTACAAAAATTTGGTTTGAAGTTAGGTGATACTTTGAGGCTTCCCACACTCCAGCGTAATCTTCGTTTCTTCAATAGAGGGTGAAAAAAAAATTTTTTTTTTAGTTTGCTTGATAAAGTGACTGAAAGTTGATTATTTCGAAAGAAATACCCCGTGTATTATTACAAATTCAGGAAGTTGTTGACATTTGCTTCTTTTATATGTAGTTATATCATGCATATCATGATTATTATTTGATAGTAACGCTGTGACATTCTCCTGATAATATTTACATTTTTATCACTTCAGAAGTTTCGAAATCCCCAAAACCATGAAACAAAACTATTCATTCAATTAAAAACCCACGAAAACCCAGGCATCAGTTTTTTCCAAGATAAATGTCTCCTAACCGAATATAATAATGTCAAGTTAGACAATTCCGCTTTCTGTTTGTTGGAGGTTAAAATGGACACCAATAGGTCTTGGCACAATCGTGTCGCTGGAATTGCAAATGCTGCTTCTCAAAAGCTTGGAACACTGTTCCGAATCAGAAAATTTACACACCTCAGCAACTTTTGATGCTTTATAAAGCATCAGGCCGTCCTTGGTGGAATGAAGTCCTCTCTACTCTCGAATCTTAAAATCATACACAGCGTATATATGGTAGGTCAATGATTAATTAGATAAAAAAAAGAACAGTACGTCACTTATGAATGAAATAATGAAATCAAAGCTTAAATAAAAAATAAAATTTGCGTATACAAAGGTATACGTACATATAGACATATAAAATAGGAATGAAAAAAATAAATGCGTACATATACATACATATATATACACACATAGACATATATAAAAAAACGATAAAATCGCCGGTCAGAACACTGAAACTAAAGCAAAACAGCAAGTAAAAAATTTGAAAAATTATATATCTTATTATTCTTCTGTGAAATAATCCTCTAAATATTCCTTATGACTTTAGTAACATTTGTCCAGTAATAAGTTTTTAACTTTCTTACTGAACAAATTTGCAGAAATCAACCTCTTCATAGAAAGTGGCAGTCTTATATAAAAATTTATGGCATCATATAATGGAGAATTTTTGAAATTACCACTCTTATGCGAAGGGACTCTCAGAGCAGTAGCATGGCGAGTATCACGACCGTGAATGCTCAAGTTCGGTATGTACAAGTCAAGGTTCCTGTGCACAAAAATGACACGTTTCATTATATATATATTGCGGGTGCAGTCAACAAGCGTTCTTTTTTGAAAACGAGTCTACAACTTTCTTGATACTCCAGGTTGAATATCAATCTTATCAGTCGTTTCTGAGAGATGAAAATTCTAGAAAATTCCTTCGCACATCCCCAAGTCATTATGTTGAAACTAATGTGGGAGTATGCATTCGCGAAGTAAACATTCTGTGAACCAAACCTATCTAAACAATTTTTCAATTGTTTGATCGAATAATAAGCTGAATTGAGTTTACTGCACAATTTTTGTATGTGACTTCTCCAGGTGAGATTTTCATCTAAAATAGTTCCAAGAAAATAAACTTCTTTTGATATTTTTATGTCATTCAAAGTGACTAAATTATAACAGAAATCTCTCCTAACAAATGTTTTCATTTGGGCTGACTTAGATTTATTCAAAATCAGTTCGTTACGTTGACACCAACTACTGAATTCGACAATAACTAAATTAATTTTCATTGATAATTCATTCTGATTTTTTCCAGAAACTGTGATTGTAGAATCGTCAGCGTACATAGTTATGTGACAATCTGATATGAATTCAGGCAAGTCATTGATAAAAGTCAAGAATAACAATGGTCCCAGAACAAATCCTCGTGGAACACCTAGTTTCATATCATAAGGAACTGATGTTATTCCATTACATTCAACCACCAAACTACGGGTTTTCATGTATCCAACAGAACACATTATTGGGAAAGTCCATTACTAGTAATTTTTTCAATAGAAATTTGATAGAAACAGTATCGAATGCTTTTGATAGGCCTAAAAAAAGTTAAAAAACCAGGTTGCTGCTGGAGTTGCCGGGTTGCATTCAGAAAGGAGCCATCCGTCTGATTATAGACGCAAACATCACATGCAACCTTGATAGCCTGGAACATCGAAGAATGGTTGGAGATTTGTCTCTCTTCTATAGATACTTTCACGGGAGGTGTTCAAGTGACTTGGCACATTCGATTCCACCAAGAGCGGTACATATCAGAAATACGCGACGGACTATGGCTGCTCATCGTTTTGAGGTTCAACTCAGTACACCTCGAACTTCACTGTATAAGAACTATTTCATCTGGAGTGGAATAAACTTCCTGAGAACGTTTTTCCAAATGGATTTGATGTTAATTCAGATTAAATTGAGCTATTTGGTATAAAACAAATATGGTGGTTTGACAGCCAGTAGATGTATAACGTCGAAGTATGAATGAAATTATTTTCTTTCGAACGAATTAGTGAATGATCTTAATCGTATTACGATTACGCTCAAGATTAAATTTTAAGCATGTATAATCTGGATTAAATGGACCAAAATAGTATAATTTTTTTTTTGTTTAAATCAGAAAAAATTTGCGTGATATTCGCCGGGACCCCCTCTTTCTCCAACGTAAGATTAAATGAGATTTGACTCAATCCCCTCCCCCCTCAAACACCTCACGTAATTTACGGACGCCCCCTTAGAACAATTTCAGTATGTTTGGGTGAATTAAAAAAAACACAAAAAATTTTGAAACTGGAAATTTTGATATGGATAGTTATGAAAAAGTGAAACAATCATGTGAAATATTTCAAAATATTTTCGGATCGCTGACCGTTCACTTTCAAGCACTTGAAAATGCAAGTGTTGACTGCTTTTGTAGTCGTCAGATCTGTTTCTTTGGGATCCAAATCTTTCAAATGTTTGGGTAATCCTTTATAACAAGTTATCTCTCGAACGCACAAGTCTTCTGTGAACTTTCTTTCTGAATATTCCCAACAGAAAAAAATCTAATGCATTGAAATCGAGTGATCTCGCTGGCCAATACTATGGTCTTAAGCGCTTTATCCACCGATTGTGTGTTCAGTTCTGCGCTCACTTCGCTTGTACAATGTGCATAAGCTAGTTGGTACCAACATCTCCTATATTCTTTGAGTGGTAGATTATCGACGAAGCTGTCTATATAATTCTTCAAAATATACAGGAAGCTTCTGGATTTGATATGCACGGTTTGGAGCCTCAGGTGTGGTAATTAATTTTACTAGAGTTTTATCCCAACAACAAACCATTATTTCAACACCACGTTTCGACCACCAAGTGATCATCTTCAAGGGGAAGATTGAACTTTGAAACTTCAAAAGAAAATGTTCTTCAAGATCCGGCTGTTTGACGTGAGAATTTTCACTGGACCAATAATGATATTTTTTGTATTGAAAATTCATTCTCTCGAAAAGTTCGATTCATCAGTCCAAATTATTTAAAAAAAATGGATCTTCTTCAATGCGTATCAACAACATTCCACAAAATTGAACTGTCTGTTGAGGGTCTTGAGGCTTCATTGAATTTTTGGTGAATTTTGAATCATGCATTTCATATCTTCGCAAGATTTTTTGAACCCAAATTTTCTTCAGCACTTCTTATCGATGACTCAGGAAATGCGTGGAAATGTGCAGAAGTAACGGGTCGAAGCGAGTTTCTTGATTTTTTCAAAGTTGATCCAAATGCATTGAAATTGTTTTGAATTCGCATAATTTTATTGACGTTATTTGCGGTAGATTCGGATACCTTTCGTTGTACTTCCTTCATGTCCTGCTAATAATTTTATCACACTGTCTAAAAATAATAAACAAATTCATAAGAACTTCGTTTGAATAGTTTTGTTCCATCGTTTTGAAGTTATTTGAAACGTGTGAAGAAACGAAAATGTCAATATTATTAGGAGAATGTTACAAAGTTCCTGTCATATAGTAATCATGGCCTGTTTAGGAAATATCGAATAGGAATCTGAAGCGACATTTTCACAAATGAATGCTCATAAGTACCAAATTTGATCAGTTTGGTATATGCATCATACAATTCAAAAACTTTCTGAATTCGTGATGACACACAGGGTGTTCTATTCGAAATAATCAACTTTCAGTCACTTTTTCTAGCAAACAAAAAACTGTATTTCTTAAACACCCTGTATTTAAGTAATGGAGATTACAGTGAAGTGTCGGAAGCCTCCAACTATCACTTAACTGCAAACCAAATTTCGGTACCACAGTATTCCTTAACTCAAAGATATCAGCATTCTTGTGGTCATGATTTCCGAAGAAATTTTTTTAAATAAGTTCATATTTCAAAAACAGTAACAGATAGAAATAGAGGAATACCAAGAAAAGTTGTTGGCTTATTATTGCAGATTCCAAATCTAATATTATATACAGGGTGTTCCGTTTAAAAATCAAAGTTGCTACCACTTCCTAATGGAAGAAGCAACACCGCATTGTCGAAATTATTTTAGTTGGATAGAGAATATCTGACTAGGCTCGCTATTCAATTTTCGAAGTGATCTGGTGTCTGGTTCACCTGAAACGTCTGATGTGCCATCCACCGTGAATCAGCCTGTGCATACCCTGTATTATGATCTTATGACTGTATTCGAAATAAATTTCGTAAACAAAGCACTCATAGCTGAAAAGCGTGAAGACGTGTTTCCGGCTTATTGGATTGGTCGTCATAAGGACGGTGTTGCAATATTTAGTTTCGGTAAGATACCCCCCCTGGTTTGACATATCAGCTGATATCACACGGGAAAAGCTTCTGCTAAGGAATGATTCTATGAATAGATTTGATATAAATCGAGAAGATCTATCGAATCAATATTTGAAAAGTTTCGAGATAGGCGTTGCATTTTACCCAAATCTTTCAATCTATTGTGTGCCTTCATAGTATCAACATCACAACATGAAAACTCTTTTGAGTCGTTTCAAATTCAGAGAAAGATCTATCCAATATCTGGCAGCTTTTGGAAGTAAGTTATAATACTGTGAAATATTTCATTAGGGTGTTTTCAACAAAATAGTGAATAATTATGGGTCTGTTCTACAGAAACACCATACTGTCTTTCAGTTTGTTCCGTTTCTTCATTCAATTATGCATTATGTGCTCAGTATCACCTTCTGGTTCATTCATATATATCGATTTTTTCATAAATATGTCTGTAATCATATTGTAATACAAGTATTTCAAAATTGATTATTCATAGCATACCTAACATCATATCAAAAACGTACTACAAATTTTGTTTGCTGAAAATGCGGATTTTTCTTCGACATCTATTATTGAAATTGAATTTTTAGAATAAACAAAATGAAAAAATTTAATATATCATATCGTTATGAATATGGTTAATGTGCTACACACAGTTTTTTCATTTCATTAGTTTGGACTTCCATTGTCTAATATAATATAAACTGATTCGAAATCCCTAAAAAAATCTGTAAAAAATTAAAAAAGATTAGCTGAAAAATAACAATTATATTATTATATTATGCAAAAAACAAGTTACAGTGAAATAAAAAACAAGCAACAACCGAAATAATGAAATGCATCACGAAACAATGTCAACCACATTCAAACATACAGTTTTTTGTTTGAAAAATCATTTATTGTCTGTCTATATCGAAATCATCCAAATGTACGCGGCAACTACTGAAATTCAAACACGGTAAATTCGATTTGAAGTCAAAAAAGCGACTATATGTGGAGAGAAAATTCATACACATTAGAATGAAAAGAATGTCTTTTACACGTTTACGAACAATTTATACTTTTATTTGGAAAAAGTACAGAATATTTCTGTATTTCTGCACAAAATGCATGTAACTACTATTACTACTTGAAAACTAGGTTTGAAGGGCTTGATGGATGAACAGGGCTGGTATTCAGCTGCCGAACAGAACATATTTTTAGCAAAAAAAAATAGGAAAGTATATATAGTTTTTTAGACACATTTGTCTCTTCGAGGATTGGAGGAATTTGAAAAAATATCAAGAATTTTTGTAATTTTCACGAATACTCATGGTGATTTGAATCATATCAAATAAAATCGAATCAAATCATTTTATTTCTTATACAACATACAGTTGTATAAGAAAGAGTCATGATCACAACCGCATGGTAGTATAGTCGGGATTCAAATGAAGAAATGTGAAGGAAAAAACAATACATTAAGGATTATACAACACTACGAAACATGTCCACATAATAAATATGCATATACGTAGTACAGAAAAAAAAATACAGATTTGAACAAAAGTTGAAGTTGAAAGTATTCATTTAGAGAGTATAGAAATTTCTCAACCAGGTATCCTTTGAGTTTTTTTTTTTAAAGTACGTTCATGTTTTAAGCTTTTGATGGAGAAAGGTAAGTTGTTGAAAATTCTTGCGCCGATTCGAGCTGGAGCTTTATAGGAAATATTGTGTTCAGAGAGTGGTAATCGTAAATCATCCTCACGACTCACGACGTGTGTTGTATTCGCGAAAATCGTTATTTATGAAAAACAAATCCCTATTTTTGAACACAAAAATACCGACTTCAAATACATAGAGGCTTGTACAGGTCAGAATTTCAATCTTTTAAAGATTTCTCGACAGTAATAGTCTTTTTTCACACCAGCAATACACCTAATGATTTTTTTATGTGATACGAGGACGTTACTCGACAGTGTAGGCAAATACCATACGTCAGTCGACTTTCCAGTTGTACGTAGTACAACTTTGAGATTTCTGAACAAATAGTGGAGAGATGAAAGTTTGGAAATCAGGAGCTTGCAATGTTTTTTCCAATCTAAATGTGAGTCCTAAGAATTCACAGCTGTTATTTATAGTCAGAGGTGTGTTATTTGAAATTATATCTACATCTACCATTTTCCTCTGATGACTATGTAATTTCATAGGGTTAGTTGGCATAGAGCAGTTTCACGAATTGGAGAACTATGTTATGTTCTTCAACGAAGTGCCCATTTTTCACATACAACTTAATGCACTATCAGAAGCGATGTGACAAATGTGCTTCAACATATATGTTTTTTCGGAATTCACTACTTTCATTCATTTCAATCACTACACAATTCATTAGGTATGTTACACTCGTGATTTTCTCATGGACGATACGACTACATGGACAATGAAAGTAATAAAAATGTCGTATGACAGAAAGACCTTAAAATCTGAAAAGTTTTCATTTTGAATCTTCTGTTCCACGATTATACTTTCCCGAAGTAGCAAGGCTGTATAATTAATAGTTTGAAATCACCCCATAACTATCACTACTAGATTGAACCTCATCGCCTATGAACCAGGCATGGTTTTTGACACTGAACAAGGTAACTACAACTCTGTCATTTAATCAGGACCTGTTCCGGTACACAAAAATGGAACGATGCATAGGGCTTTTTTCAAAGGAGTTGAAAACCTCATTTCATCGAAGCATCTGATAATTGCTCATATCATATCGAGTGCCCATGCTGTAGTCGAAACTGAGAAATTCTTTATTGTCTGTCAGGATTGTATATTCGACGTCTTGGCCTAGCGTAATATCTTGATGAATATAGAAGTCCCTGACATAAGATGGAGAGCCTCCCACGAGACGGCTGAAATAGTTAGGTATATGCTTCCAACATGTATTCAGTCTCAGACTATATTATCGGTATGAGCTGAGCCTACAAGTGACTTTTTCCCACCTTTGATACTTTAGCTCATCTTGACCGGAAAGATTCACACCCCAAATCAGCCTTACATCTTTCCTGTTGAAAGGACATGAGAGAATACTGGACGAACACATCAGGAAGGTTGCTTTATATGTAGCCCCCCTGAATAACCGCCAGTGTGCATATCAAACCGACAAATCGACAGATTAGGCATTAAACAACCTTCTAGAGGAAATTTCCCTATCTCTTGACATCACGCAGATTGAAGGAGCTTTTGACAATGCACTACCTAAATCTTTAGACTCAGCCCTGGTTGGAAAAGGCATTGAAACGACCACAACAAAAATAATCAGTTTTTTAATAATAACTGAGATAATTTTGTAGACATCTTTGGCATATATGATACATATGTTCCATGCCTCAAGGCGCATTTTCTGATGTACAATTTTCTTAATTTTCTCTGCCAGTGGCGTACGTACGAGTTTTGAAATGTATATTCTTGACGAAAAAAATACTACACCACTGCTTTATCTCGAATTGAAAATTATTTTTAAAATCTTCATACATTTTTGAGCACATTTGATTTGCTGGGTTTTCTTTGTCCAACGCAAGGTTTTCGCTCAAAAAATTAAAAATCGCTTTACTTAAGGATAAATTCCTTAAAAATCTGATGCGGTATCGTGCATCGACTGAAAGCAAACTANGAAAGTGGGATGTAATAAAAGTCTGCATCACTCATTATATAAAGGGGTCTATCATTAAGCGCTTTCGCTCATAAAATTTAAATGAAATAAAATATGTGTAAGATATCATCAAAATTTTGTATTAGTTTGAAAAACACACTGATGCAATTATATCGTCATTCTCAAAAAAATGACGAAACAATCAACTCCCTAATTGAAAAAACACAACTGATACAAAACAAAACAGAAATTTAATTGAACTTTAGTAATGGATAACCAAGGGTTAGTGATTTCTACACAAAAAAGAAACAGGCTATATTCCTAACACATAATAGATCCTAGAAATCAACCAAAAGTAGATATTTATTTGAACTATAGAAAAATAACAGAAAAACTAAAAAAACAGCAAAAGCTCACTCTCACAATAAACAAATAAATAGAAATAAAAATAACCCTAAAAACTTATGGAATGTTTGAATTGGGTGAGGTGGAAAAAACATATAACATTAAAGAAATACTCACCGATGACAGATAACTATTGAAAGAAAAAGAACCAATTTCGGAGGCTATCAATAATTGTTATTCAAAAGTAGGTGAAACATATGCCCGAAAAATCCCTACACCAAACACTGTCCCAAAGACAAAACGGCTGCAGAATTTATTCTACTAAGCACCTGTAAATGAGAATGAGATTGTTTATTTAATAAAATCACTTAAAATAAAAAAAACACCGGGAATAGACGGCATTAGAACAGATATAGTTAAAGCTGCAATTATTTTTTCACTTAGTGTGCGCTGGTCAGGCCCTATCCCCAGAAGCCCCGATACATTCGGAAGGGCGCGCTCATTGGGTCCGAGAATCATGTGCCCTGAGCAAGCGCAGTGAGCCAAGAATGACAGCCTTCTGCATCTGTGCGGCAAGCCGGTATGATTTTAAGATTCGAGAGTAGAGAGGNATTGCCATGGCTACCTCAAAAATCCATTTGTACATCGGAAGAGCTCTTGGAGGATTCATAGATGCCGCTATATTCAATGTCAGTCCTGCATATTTATCAGAAATAGCCGACCCTGAAGTCAGAGGATTTTTTGGTACTTTACTAATGGTATCATTTGGTCTTGGTATAGCATTATTCAACGTATTTGTTACGTTCATGTCATCGGAGGCAATAGCTTATCTGATAGCAGCACTGACTCTTCTCATGCTGATCACAATACCATTTGTACCAGAGAGTCCATACTATTGCTTGTTGAAAGGAAATACTGAAGAGGCAGAGCTCAGTCTGAGGAAGCTAAGGGGAAAGCAAGACATTCAGGAAGACCTAGATCGAATATCCAAGAGTATATTGGAACACGGAGATGACAAAGGAAAAGAAACAGATATGTTGAGAAAGAAACATTTCAGGCGATGTCTTTGGACTGTTTTAACATTATCCTTCACCCAGTACTTATCCGGAAATTACGCAATTCAAGCATACTATGAAACAGTATTTCAGAATAGCGAAACCATATCTTCCCGAGTGGCGAATTGTATTTATTACGTGGTGTTTTTTATCGCAAGCATAGTTTCACCACTTTTGGTGGACATTTCTGGCAGAAAACCACTTATACTCATCTCTACGGGGTTAACCACATTGACT